ATTTTTATGACTTTTTACGCCTTACTATCGTATGACTTTTCATGCTTTACTATACTATGACTTTTTATGCCTTACTATACTATGTCATTTTCATGACTTTTTATGCATTCCTATACTATGACCTTTTTTGCTTTACTATACTATGTCCTTTTTATATTTTTTTATGTCTTCCTATACTATGTATTTTTTATGACTTTTTATGCCTTACTATTCTATGACTTTTTATGACTTTTCATGCCTTACTATACTATGACTTTTCATGCCTTACTATTCTTTGTGTTTTTTACGAATTTTCATGTCTTACTATACTTTGACTTTTTATGCCTTACTATACCGTGACTTTTTATGCCTTACTATACTATGTCGTTTTTATGACTTTTTATGCCTTACTATACTATGACTTTTCAGGCCTTACTATACTTTGTGTTTTTTGTGACTTTTTATGCCTTACTATACTATGTCATTTTTATTACGTTTTATGCCTTATTATACTATGACTTTTTTATGACTTTTTATGCCTTACTATACTATGACTTTTTATGCCTTACTATACTATGACTTTTTATGCCTTACTAAACCATGACTTTTTTTATACCTTGCTATACTATGAAATTTTTATGCCTTAATGAACTTGTACTTTTTATAACTTGCTATACAATTATTTTTTGTGCCTTACTACAACATGACTAGCAGTAAGGCATAAAAAGTCATAGTATAATATTGCACAAAAAAAGTCGTAGTATAGTAAGTCATAAAGTCATATTTTAATAATTTAAAAAAAAGTCATAGTATAATAAAAACCATATAGTATGGCAAGGCATAAAAAGTCACATTGTAGTAAGTTATAAAAAAAGTTATAGTATAGTAGGTAAGAAATTCATCCTATTGTAAGGGATGAAATGTCATAGTATATTCCATCCATTTTCTACCGCTTNTTACTATACTTTGTGTTTTTTGTGACTTTTTATGCCTTACTATACTATGTCATTTTTATTACGTTTTATGCCTTATTATACTATGACTTTTTTATGACTTTTTATGCCTTACTATACTAGTCAAAAGTCATAGTATAATAAAAACCATATAGTATGGCAAGGCATAAAAAGTCACATTGTAGTAAGTTATAAAAAAAGTTATAATATAGTAGGTAAGAAATTCATCCTATTGTAAGGGATGAAATGTCATAGTATATTCCATCCATTTTCTACCGCTTATCCTCTAGTAGGGTCGCGGGGGGGCTGGAGCCCATCCCAGCATCCTTTCGGGCGAGAGGCGGGGTACACCCTGGACAGGTCGCCAGTCCATCGCAGGGCACACAGAGACAAACAACCATTCACTCTCACATTCATACCTATGGTCAATTTGGAGTAACCAATTAGCCTAGTCCCCATTTGCATGTCTTTGGACTGTGGGAGGAAGCCGGAGTACCCTGAGAGAACCCACACAAGCACGGGGAGAACATGCAAACTCCTGTCATAGTATATTAAGGCATAAAAAAATATTGTATAGTAAGTCATCAAGTCACAGTATAATAAGGAAAAAAAGTCATAGTGTAGTAAGGTATCAAAAAAGTCATAGTATAGTAAGGCACAAAAATATCACAGTATAATAAGGCATAAAAAGTCATAGTACAGTAAGGCATAAAGTCATAGTATAGTAAGGCATTAAATGTTACATTGTAGTAAGTCCTAAAAAAGTAATATTATAGTACGTCATTAAGTCATATTATAATACGGGATAAAATGTCATTGTATAGTACGGCATAAAACTCATGGTATAGTAAGTCATAAAGTCATAGTATAGTAAGGCATAAAAAGTTATATTATAGTAAGGCATAAAAATATCACAGTCTAGTAAGGCATAAAACGTCATAGTATAGTAAGTCATAATGTCATTTATAGTAAGGATAAAAAAAAGTTATTGTATAGTAAGGCATAAAAATGTCATAGTATAGTAAGGCATAAAAAGTCATACTATAGTAAGTAATAAAGTCATATTATAGTAAGGCATAAAAATGTCAAATTATAGTAAGGCATAAAATAGTCAGATATACTGTTGAGGGGAAATTATTCCATTTCAGAATACTGACCTTCGAAAAGCTCAGACCCCCTCTGCTGGATAACTGGTAGTATGACCGTATCTTCTGACAGCTGGGTGTGTTAGTTGCACCAAATGTGTGACAACTGAAGCTCATCAAACTGATCCTATAAAGGTAAGTGGCTTATCCTTATGTACTAACAAGCTGTGGTGTTTTAAATGGGTCAAAATATGTTCACAGAAAAGATGAAGGCCAACAACGCAAGAAAAAAGTACTTAAATTATACATTAAAAGTAACATTATAGTTGTTACTTGCCCAAAAAAGTAATGATTAAAGCTTTCATGCATTTCAATATTTTTAAATTAAGATTAATCGACCTGAACTGAACACTTCATGGAACACTTTCAGTGTTCCAATCCAGGTCATAACAGTGTTATAACAGTCTTATTGAATTTATCATAAGAAACTCAGTCAAGACCCACGGTACAATAGTGTGACAGTAGTGTCTGGTGTATGGGCATTGTAATGAACTAATAGAATTATACTTTAAATTATCTTGTAAATTGAATAATTAAATTTGCATATTAAATGGCAACATGGTAGCAACAGCCGTTCGCATGGTGGTCAGACCTGTGGTGTTGGCAGGAGTCGTTTGTGGAGTTAGAACTGGTCAGTAAGAGCTCCTGTTGCAGCCCTGTGGGTTGGTTAATATTTTGGTGGCACACTGCTTAGATGTCCTCAAATTACAAAGAGCTGTATTCACATTAAATTCAAGTTGTTGCATTATGTTTAATTAGCAAACTTGAAAATCTAAGTCTCATTATCTTTGGTGACACCTATGGCGATACATGGCAATTGCAGGTTTGCTTTTGAACCACACACGAGTGTTCCATCCACTTGTGAGTTCTGGCAGAACTCCTGGGTGATGAAACACACGTGTGTTGGTGACTCATGTTCCTCGTGATTTTGCGTGTGAGCAACAAGAAGTTACAAAATAATCTGGAAGCTCTGAAATCTAATAAAATTACCTTTGAATTAAGAATACTTTGTGGGACATACTCTTTCCAAAGGTGAAGAATTAATTCACATGCTCAAATAAATAAATAGTAAATACATATAAATATAACATATATGGTCAAAAGTCTTAAAACAAAAAAATTTAAAACATGATTGAAATGTATTTTTCAATTCCATGTTTAAATTATATTATGAATTCATCATTTAAACATGAACTATGAAAACAGAATTATCATTTGGAACAATTCATCTTTTTATTATTTCTTTTGAGTTTTTAATGCATCATTTAAATGTTAAATTTATAACAGCTATTAGTTTATTAATTAATTATAATTTAACAATGCCTAAATTTATTCAGATGGCACTCTCAAGACTCCATAGACTCAAAAAACACACAATAATTGTAGAAATAAAGTAATCAAGTCATAGAAACAACTGTAGACAGCAAAATAAAAGTCTAACAAAACACTCAGACGAGCTTTACACTTTTTTAGAGTAGCTTCTTTTACTTTGCTAAACAACTGGGAAAATGAGTGACTTTCATTTAATTTGAGCCATCGTTGTCCAGGTTTCAACATCAGGTAGACAACAATGTGCTTTCACATGATAATTATCACAAAAGGAAATGCCAGGATTTGATTTATGGATCAATAGTTGGCACTTGTAGTACTTGTTGTCTCATCTAAACAGGCTGAAAAAACGGAACCTATACACAACACAAAATATAACAATAATATATGAAACATGTGTGTCATTTTTACCTGTGTGTATTTTAATGACTGATGCAGAGGATGTCTTGTCAGTGTCTCTGAACTACAGACACAATGATGAAACAAAAGGTGGAATGATGAAACAAAAACTAAGGTGGATCAGGGTCACCTAGAGCTTGGCACGTACAGCAGTGAATGATTCTGAACTTAAAAACATGCAGCTTACAGTCACACACACATTATTTCTCTATAATTTCCTATAACACACACTTACACATAATGCATTTAACACAGAAACGATGCAGCCTGTATGCACCTGGTACAACACTTTGCTCTCCACACTCCAAATTTACAGAGGGGAAGTGTGTGTTCAGATATTGGTTGGGAAAAAGCACAAAAATGAGGTGTGGTTTTTTTTGTGTGTATTTGTGGATGTGTAAGCATGTGTGTATGTATCTCTGAGAGCAGCTACAAAAATGACACAAACACACATGCACCATAGACACTATCTCACACACAGACTACATTTCCCATGTTTTTTTTTCACAATAAAACCATTCAAGATCTTCAAACAAATGAAATACGCTGCCAAAAAACCTTTAAAACTCTCCGCTGACACAAGACACCTGTGCAAGAGCATAGGAGCGACCTCCAATAGCATACATTTGGTTCTAAGGCAAAATTGTAGTTCCACAGGACTAGTGCTGTTGATGCAGTGTGCTGTTTGCACGCTGACTGTGTCTCCATTTGAAAACCTTCACTCAGTCATTCAGTGTATTTTTATTTTAGCACCATGGGAATCTCTCCTTCAATCAGAATCGTGTCACTCCGAGAGACAGCTGTGAAAAATATTCCCTTCCGATATCCACTGAAAAAAAAATCTCATGATTATTGTGGTTGAAGAGGAAACTGGAAATATCCATGAAAGTTGCTTGGTTTGTTACAAGATGGTGAAAATCAAAAACAGCATGAACACACACAACATAATGCAAGGCTTAACATTAACATCACAGATCATTTGGAAATTCACCATTTGCATTTTTTCTTTTCTTTTTTTTTTCTTTTCCATTCCACAATGGTCGTATGCATAAGCTTTAAGCAAAAAGGGCAAAGGACGGACTTCAGCCTTTTGTTTGTTCTTTTCTCTGTACACACACGTACACACACACACACACACACACACACACACACGCACACACACACGCACACACACACGCACACGTACACGCACACGCACACAAACACACACATACAGTAAACACAATGGGTTTTACAATAAGACATGAAATAAAACCATCTGCAGCCATTCTGAGCTGGGTTGAAGTGACCAGTTCCCAGGCATCAAAGGCAATAAAAATGTCTGTTTAGTGTTTCCTTTCAGTTACTGTGGGTGATGAGCAGCCGTCTGATCACAGTAAGTCGCACAGGTCAAGGATTAAGGAGCCAGAAAAGACTCCTGGATGCATTTTCTTGTAGCTCTTTAGTTCCTTTAGCATCCATAGTTTATAACTCTGAATATGAATCTAGTGTGTGTGTGTGTGTGTGTGTGTGTGTGTGTGTGTGTGTGTGTGTGTGTGTGTGTGTGTGTTGGTCGTCTTTTGTTTGCACTTGTGCAACCGTTAGTATCTCAGTAAACTAATTTGGATCTTCTGCGACCCTCTGTCCACACTGAACAAGGGAATCTTGATGTGCAGTAATGAAAACCATGCCCTCCACAAAAACGGCTCACTCAGTTTTCAGCACATTTCCCCACGTTTGTTGAAACTCGTATTGATATCTCGTTGTTTTTCCTGTCTCATCTCAGGGTGCGATGACCTGTGTGGAGCCACAGAGGGAGACGAATGTTCACCAAAGTGTTGTCTTCCTCCCGTGGCTGGCCAACGTCCACAAACGTCCACATCTGTCCGAGAAGAGGGGACAGGCTGTACTTTTCTCGTTGCCATGGCAAAGGTCAGGGTAACAGTGGCGGGGCTGCACAGAGGTCAGAGGTCACGGGCTACGTGTGAGGTCATTTCCTGGTGTGAAGGCTCTCCTGGAACTTGGTGCTCGTATAGCGGATGTGGAAGCCCTTCTTGCTGATTGTGTCATCGCTATGGAAACGAATCAGCATGGCGTCTCCGGGCGAGTAAATCCCCTCCCGAGGCTGAGCAAGGAGGAGACATGAGAAGGAGTTTCTCAGACATTTAAAGGTTCATATCTGAGCTTTTGCTTACAAATCAAATAGAAGCAGGTCTTTGCAAACCATGCTGTTGTGTTTTAGATTTCCGAATATATTTTTCTACCTTCCAGAAACGCCTTATTTCTGTTCATTCATGCATAATATGAAAATTAATTAGCAAACTTTTAAAAGTTGCTTGAGTTGTGTAACTCGCCACAAACCATCACACTTTTCTGCCAATAGCTTCACACCATTCCACTGATCTACAAGGGGCAGTAATATGTCGAGGAAATTAGCATTGTGCCAAAGGGAAGAAGAAGACTGCTTGCAAGTAAACATGGATGTAAACAATCCAAGTTTAAAGATCACAAAAAGAGAACTTAATTTTGCAAATGCTTTATGAAAAGAAAAATGAATTCAACATTTGTCAGGCTTCAGTGATACACAATGTGTAACTCAGTGTCAAGACAAACTTGTTGAAAAGAAAGCTCCACATGCCACTTTTGAACTGCATTACCACACTCCCCATAATGTTACTCTGAAAAAATTTGAGTAATTAATTAAACTTGATGTTAAATGACACTCAGGAGATTATCAACCACACAAACTCAAGCAACTTTCGGGACTTTTGGGATTTTTCACAAACAGAAATGAATTGAAACCAACAGCTTCCTGGAATGGTAGGAAAATACAAAATCTAAAACTGTACACCATGCATTCAAAAGAAAAATATACATGATTTGTAGTTGAAGGATATGGCTGGTGTTATTCAACATTTTCCTTATCGTGGACAAAACTCACGAAAAGACCAGAATCAACAATACATTAGTCGATGTCTCTTCCCGACCCTGTGTGTGGCCCTCAGCAACGGAGCCATTGGTCATAAACACATTGTATCATTTAAAGAAATTATTTTCGAAAACAGCTGGACACTGTTATTCTTATCAAACATAATTCAAACAGGAATAAATGGTGCATTTGTTGGGAGCTATTTTTTGCAGCAAATTAACAACCTCTGGCGTGTTATGAGTATTTCCGGCAGCAGGACGGGGTACATGGGATTGAGTCAAAATGAGCTACAGTTGCCACGTTCATGGTAATGAAGGAACATATGAACCAGTGTGGCTTATGGATTTTCTTTCAATAGTGTTTGGATGACAAAGGAGATCTATCGCACAGAGAAATAAGATATATCAGGTCTTTTCAAGAAATGTGTTGTTATTAAAAAAATATTGAATAATTCTAGCCTAATGCTTTAGAAGTCAGAAACAGATAGTTAGGATCAAATGGAAATGAATGGAAGGTGAAAGCTGCCTGGAACAGCTGAAGAAATACATCAAAAAAGCTAAAAGTAAACCTTTGGCGTGGATTTGACAATAGTCGTAAAAAAAAAAAAGTATACATCATTTGTATTTAAAGCGCTCAAACATGTAACAAACACTGTCATGGTTCTTTAATAACTAATAACCTTTGTGAAATCATGAAGCCTTACCCCTGAACCGCAGAAGCGGCCGAGTCGATGTGAGTTAGCGTCGTACCCGTTGTACAGCTCGATGTAGTCATAACCACAGTCAGCTTCCTCCTCTACCTCAAACGTGATGAAGCTCAGCTCGATGCCGTAACCCTGTTCAGCCGTCAGCAGCCACTCACAGTCAGTGTGACCTGGGTAATTGTTGTCTCCAAACTGGGAGTGAGAGTAGAGGTTCTTCTGACGAGCTTCTGCTTTCAGACGACCTCCACACTCTGAGGAGAGACAGATGGAGGGAAAGGTATCGTCATACAAAGTTTTGACCTGAAAAATGTGGCATTTGTTAGATTTTGTGTTGATCCAGACATTCTTAAAACTCAAGTCAGGTTTCATGAATAATTTCCATCATGTATGTGCTCTTAAGAACCACTAGAGGGGGATATTGCTCTTAAAAATGAATAAAACTTGAGAAATTCAAGCTGGGGACCGTGAGTGATGCTCTTTCTGCAAACACAAAAACTCACAAACAAAAAGCCATTTTAACGTCAGTAACAGACATGAACTCAAACACATTTCCACACAGACACACACCTGTGGAGTGTGTAGCTTGGAAACCCTTCCTTTGTACTGAAGCGTCAGAGATGAAGCGGAGGTACATCTTGTTTCCGGTGGAGACCAGAGGCTCTGGGATTTTACTGCCACACAGTCGACCCAAGATGGCTGCCGTGTCACTGTCCCCATCGAAGGCCTCCAGATGGTCATACGCACACTCCTGATGCTGCTCGATCTCAAACTCGTTGAAGGTCTGGACAGGTGGAGGCAGAGAGATCGACAGAGAGAAATGGATGAGTGAGATATGCGTGAGTGTTGAAACAAGACCTGTTGACCTCGCCGTTAAATGTCTTCATAGGAACAGTTTCTTTGGTAGAAAGTAGTTCCAATGAAAACTGAAATCTTATTCAAATACTGTGAGCACCAAAAATTAAACTGTATTTATTTCCATTACTGGGATGATTTTATTTTGTAATTTGGGTGAAATTACCCTTTAAAACTACAACGGTACACACGTGTTGCATTTATGTGATTATAAATTTGTACCTGGTAAGGAACTACAAAATATTTAACTTTCCATTTTGCAGAAGTTGTATAGTCTGTTTTTAAAAATAAATAAAGATGACATCCTCATCCCTGGTCTCTCTAAATACAATCAGTTAGAAAATGATGAAGAATGAAATCCAAAAGTTGTTTAAGGCACTTTTCCGCACAAACTGTCTTTGACTTCTTCAAAAAAAATGCTCCTGAGGGAAACTGACACGTTAGCTTTACCTGCTCTTCCTGTTTCGCACAGTTTAAATTTGTACATGTAGTAATAACAGAGAGATACAGAAAATATAATATTCAGTGGTGTTTAGAGGCCTGTAGAGTCTGTTTATGGAAAGAAAATCAGAGACTCCGTGACAGGACTCAAAGCACAGGAGCCTGACGGCAAGGCAGTGTGAGAAAGAGAAGAAAACTAATGAGAGTGTATCCTTTGTAAAAGCTGTCACTATATTGTGTCTTCATTAAAAGCCATTTTCTTCATAGTGTCTCTCTGACTTGGCAACTAATTATTTGATAGAAAAAGTATTACTGCACAAACAAGCTTGGCTGTAAATGAACCAAAAGAACCTTAAAGCTCTCACACCACTAACTCAGCGGACTGTGAAAAGAAAAGACTAGTTTTTGAAAGAGATCCTCAGAATACTGCACATACTTTTTTTTGTCTTTGACTGATGCAGACAGACATCTGTCTCTCCAAACATCATTAGCAGAGGGTCATTTCCAATAAGATATAGGTGTCCTAAAATTTCAATCTGTGCTAATGTGGTTAAAATGATTTAATCTGTGTTTTATGTTTGTTTTTTTTGGATGCTATATATTTCTTTACGGTGTGATTTAGGTAGATGCGATGAGAAGAACTTTTTTGTCTTATTTTCTTTGTTAGAGAGCTGTTTAAAAAAAAAAAAAAAAGAATGTGTTTGCATATTTAATACATCGCAGAAGAAACCCCCTGCCTCCCTCCGTCTTTGCCTACACATTGCTTACACGCTGACATGCATGTACACAGAGTCACGATTCATAATCTAATCAAGTCACTGTGAGCTGACTCATAACACCTTGCAGGCCTCTCTCCCACGCACAGTCACACACCCCTCTGATTGTCTCCTGAGCCGTGCTCCATCACGCCACCACAAACCACCACACTGCGCTGATTTTTACAAACCAGACGGGAGGAGAAGGGAGAGCGAAGGTGGGCTGATGTGAGGATGTCGTTACTGAGAGGGCAAGTGTTTGATTTGGAGGATGGTGATGGCTTCCAGATGTTTCTAACTGTAGCTCGGATGAGACACTGGTTTCTGGATCTGTTTACTGTTCCCAAGTGAATTGTGTGTGTGTGTGTGTGTGTGTGTGTGTGTGTGTGTGAGAGAGACAGACAGAGTAAAGAAGCAATAACAGAGTGACCTTCATGGCTATGTGCAGATTTCTGGTATTAAATTTATCCCGCTGTGATGTCATTACTGTGGATATAGAGAGCACCCCTGCTAATCTCAACACACACGCACACACGCACGCACGCACACACACACACACACAAATCTGTGTATAGATCACATGTAGTCACACACTCAAAAGGTGTGATTACATGGTGCAAAGAACCGTCGATGTGTCATCGTAGCTGATGATGTAATATGTTTTTGGTTGCGTAAGCGATCATAAGAGATTATCAAAACTAAATGACAGCTGATGGCAATTTTGATAACATGTGAGGAGCAAAGTCCTTATATTCTGCAGGACTACACACTGCGGACTGTGTGTGTGTGTGTGTGTGTGTGCGTGTGCGTGTGTGTCTAGACCAGGAATGTGTCTACATTTAATAAAGACTGCACTGTGTTTGTGTGTGTGACACTACCTGCATTTGGGAACATGAGTAGATTTTAGGAGGATTATCTGAAGCACGCTTTGTGAATGTGAGCATGTGTGTGACTGTCCGCTCCTGCATTTGCATCTTTGTGAGGACCAAGTTGAGTTTTACGTTTGTGATATACACGCTTTTTAGCGCTGAAATGAGTAGTTGATTAATCTATTAGTCAACTTGCAGAAAATGGATTGGCAACTACAGCGTTTTGACAACCAATAAATCATGTAAGTTATTTCTCAACCTTAAGTTTAGCTGCTTTTCTTTGTCTTCAGCCATAGTGAACTGGATATCTTCAAGTTTTAGACTGTTGGTCGGATGAAACAAGCAAGTCAATTGTCAACTTTCTGTTTTATTAATGGATTCTGTTCTTTTCTCATTTCTGTTTTACTGAACTGTTAACAATATGTTGCCATAAGAAAGCATGTATGCAAAGCCTACGTACATAACCTGTATAAAAAGGTTAAATGTGGTTGCGATGGTCAAGGTTAGTGAATGTATAATGCCACTGAGAGTCCTCACAGGTACAGAAGGACATACGTGTGTGTGTGTGTGTGTGTGTGTGTGTGTGTCTAGACCACTCCATCACCTCGGCAAGTTGAGTGTGCAAACGGCGCTAAGCATCTTCTGTGAACGTACCTGAGACGAGAGATTCTCCATTCACACTAACACTGTTAGTTAAACACCATCTGTCTGAGCTAATGTGCTGTCACATAAGTTTAGATTATCTCCTCTCTCTCTGTCTCTCTCTCTTCTTATGACAAATGACCATGCAAATCTGAATTAGAACTTTTTAACCTCAATTATCCATGATGCGCATGGACCTTAATCAGAACTGTGTTTCTGATTCAGTTTAATAAATAAGTACAACTGCAGTTACTTAGAAAACTATCTGTGTCGACACATAAATTCTTACACACTCAAACGTATGCATGTGTGCACACATGCAGCTTGCGCGCACACACACACACACACACACACACAGAAAGACACAAAGACACAGATGGCCACTGCCCAAGGCCTCTTTCTAACGCATGAGCACACGCTTGCAGTTAGCCCGATTATAAAAACATGCGCTTTCTCCCCCGTTCACATTTGGGTTTCATATGTGGAACATACAAAAGAGAGACCATCGTGTAAGAAGGAGGAGTGGGGGGGGGCAGCCTGAGGCTTTTACATAACCTACAGACAGAATAATGTATTGTTATGAGGGAAAGAGGCATCCCAGTAATGCTCAAGAACATGGTCTATGTGGAGTGAGAGAGAGAAGCTGCTTCATTTGATGCACACTTACAATCTTGACTCGGTGCCCCGGTGTGGCTGTGATGTCCCAGGTGCACTCCTTACGGCTGGGATACTTGTCTGGCCAGTTAGGGCTGCTCAGGGTCCCACTGGGGCTGTGGATCTTATGCTCACACTCAGCTGGACACACACACACACACACACGCACACACACAGAAACACGCAAGCACACACATGGAGAGGAAGTTAAAATCGTGGCTGCACAGGAAAAGGTCAAAGGAAATGGAAAGAGAACAGGAAGGAGAGAAACGAGAGAACCAAACTAGAGAGAAAAGATCTCAAAGAAACACATCCTGGTGACAAGTTCAGTGTGAATTCCATATGCACACACGCTTCTCACAAAGACTGTGCTGCATTAGGGCTTTACGTAGCTCCTGCACTGTGGCAACCTTGTGCACAGACAAAGAACTAAAAGAATAAAAAGAATTTCTTGGATTAACAACACCTTAACCTATAAACAATGATAAAATGTAACGTTTTGTATATAATTAGCAGTAGCACGAGAATGAATGTTAAATTTTATATTCATGTACAAGTCAGCCATAACCTACATACAGTATTTAAAGGGAAGTTCGTTTCATTTTTTAGTATCTTATGTGAACCTTGAATACTACTATTTATAGAAGCAACAATCCAATATATTCATCAATTATAGACTAACAAAATATGTTAAAAAAAAATTTTTTTTTAAACTGTTCCTACATTTATTGCAAACACTGCAGTCTGAGGGGCTAAGCCTTAGTGAGTGAATGTTTGGGAGCGTTGCAGATTCATTCTGGATATGTTCAGTGACTCTGTTGCAGGGTTTTGTTCCTGACTGCAAGGACAAAGAGTCTGAGCTCTGATTTGCACCTTCGGCTCTTCCCTGATGAGAACTTTCTTCATTTCTCTATCACATTATGGAAACAATTACTCTGTTATTGCCACTGGTTGCTTTTAAGGATTTATCTCAGAAAACAGTTTTTGGGCTTCTCAATATCATGGTGCCATGGTGCACAACTGTAGCCTCCTCAGCGCAGACCGATGGCAACAGATTCCCATGATAAAGCCAAAAAAAGACAAACAAGTACTTTGAAATTTACTGTAACATAGCAGCTTGGTTTCAGTTGTCACTATCGGGTAAGTGACTAACTGTAGCTGTAATACTCTACTTCATGATAAAACATCAGCTGCGGGCCAATATTTTAGCATGCTAACCACTGTGATGCAACTGTTTCTGCTTAAAAGCTGCTTTCATCTTGGAGAGTTTGCATCAATTACAAACTGCACCAAAAAGCTATCCAGAGCAGCTTTCAGAGACAGACATGAAAAAGGAATACAGTATGTGTGTGTGTGTGTGTTTGTGTTTGTGTGTATGGTGTAGGTTAGATGAGCGGAGTGGCACAATGAAGGTGATGGGAGGCAGGAGGCATTTACGAGACAACGAGATGTATTCCAGACAGTTTTTATTTAGAGTCAGATAAACTGAACCCATGTACAGAATGAGACGGACGGATTTACAAGAACAATGTAAAAATGTAAAGGAGAGTTTTCCAACATGCGATGTAATGAATACAGATGTCATATCCCACACAAACTATTGCCACACTTTATAGACCTTCATACTGTCAGCAGTTAAAAAAACAAACTACTTTCATGATGTAGATTTTAGCTCCGACATTGAATTGTGCCATAATTATCTTGTCTGACACAGCATCAAAAGTAAATCTTTTCACATTATCAGGTTGGTGCATCACAATATTAACAGTAAGTAGGTAAAAAATTGATCATTTTCCAGTTTAACAGATGTTTTCATTTCATGAAAAGGAAGAAACTAAATCTCTGAGACTATAAAGAATACTGATTTTAAGTGTTCTTGTCTTTGTTTCTTTTCTGCTGCAGGTGTCTCACAGTCTTACACACCTCTGGCAGGTGAGCAGCATCACTTACATCACTCCAACATGTTAACAGCACATGTCAGGCTATCCAAATGTCTCTCCACACGTTGGAACTATCTCACACACATACAGTATGTATGTATATATATATGTATGTATGTATGTATGTACATAACCAAACGAATACAAGCTGTGTGATAGGAATATGTCTGTGTGTGTGTGTACATGACTCTGCAAGCTTACTGGGTCAAGCTGGTCTAATGCATACATAACACACACACACACACTCCAACACACACACACTCACACTCACACAGGAAGGCAGCGCTACATGCAAAGCTTTCAAGCTCCCAGATGTTTGAAACATGAGTCTTTTTATGAGCAGTGCAGGGAGCCTTTGGTGAGGTGTGTATGTGAGTATTGATGTGGTGTGTACGTGCACACGTTCAAAAGTTCAACTTCAAAGAGCTGAGTATAATATGTCAATTCAACAGTTGTGTATATGCATGTGTGTGCACATGGGAAAGTGCCGGGGACTTTTAATAAATAATGTTTTCTGTCAAACTGAAACCGAGCCCGCCCCCTGTGTGTCTGTTTCTCACACATAAACACACATCACAGTAAACACAGCTTTGGTGACTTGCAGGCAGAGCTGTTTGTAGTTCAACTCAAATCCCAAGTCATGTCAGACAAGTTCAGGTTAAGTTTAAAGTCTAAAGAATAGTAGTGGTTCACAACCCCTCAGCTGCAGACCAGTACTGACCAGCATGGACCAGCCACAAATCATTTTCTAAAAGGGCTGTGAGGAACAATATGATTGAGGAAGAAATCTGTATAATAACTTTATATCTTCATAAGCTATTTTTACAGTGGTAACCATGAACTTGTGCAGTCATTTTGTGCTGCATACACTGTCTGCATGTGCTGTGTTGCTATTATTGTTCGATTGATAACGATGTTGCAATCCTAGACACTGCTCCTTTAAGAAAAGTAAAGCTGGATTGATTCTTTTACATAACTGACTCCAAGTGCTTTCAGTGCACAGGCCTAATAATTATATATAATATAATGTAATTATATATAATATTAAAGGTATGTTGCAAAGCCTGTCTGACACGTTTCTTTCTGGATTTAAATAAGTCAAACCTTGAGACTTGAATGTTTTTCAGGTATCAGCAATCAAGTCTGACTTGAGACTGACTCCTGCCCGAGTCCAAAGCCTCAAGTCTACAGCTCTGCTTGCAGTGTGGAAACGTGTGTGTAAAAAAAAAAAAAAAGCAAACCTTCCCTCAAATAGAGAGGGTCAGTCTGTTGTCATGCGGACTCTGATGTGGGTAGACAGAGTAGGGATTGTATGATGGACGATGACTGTTTTTATGAATGAGCACATGCTTGTGTGGATGTGTAAGGGCGTGCATGTGCGCACCAATGTTTTTATGCCAGTGTGTGTGTGGATGTGAATGTACGTGAAACCCACCTTCCTTACAGTCATGTTTGTTCTCATGCAGTACAAAGCCATGGCGACACTGACAAACGTAAGAGCCCACTGTGTTGATGCACTCGTGCTGGCAGCCGCCGTTGTCCTTGCTGCACTCATCTTTGTCTGTGAGAGATACACATGCAACACATCACTCATGTGGAAACAGCAAAGAGACGGGGTGGAGAGAAGCAAGAGGTCAAGCGGGGGAGAGGAGTGGAAGGATGAGACTTTAAGGACAGGGTGGGGGGGGTGGGGAGTGTTGAGAAAGAAAAGATTATAAGTAAAGTACAGCAGGGGAAAGGCAGAAAGAGAAAGAGAAGGAAGTCAAATCAAACTTGGAAGGTGAGGTTGGTGAAGAAAAAGGGTGCAGTACAAATTAGTGAAAGTGACCGAAATGGATGAACAAAAACCAGGAGAAGTAGCTGACATGTTCGCCCAGAATGTCATTCAACTGCCAAGTTTAACTTTTTTAAGAAAAGGCTGACAGTTTAAGCCCAACAGGACGGCCAAAAAAGCAGGACCATCACAGCTTTAAACACCGTCTGCAGCCCAAATTGTTCCAATGCTAACATCTAAAGATTTGTTAAAGAAAGGTTAGAGGAAACGGAGGTCTAATAATAGAAAGTAGTGATAAACATTAGCGTTAATAGGAAGTGAGAAAAACCACCTCAAAAGACAAAAGACACCTACAATGAGTTAAGTTCATTAGTGTGTGTCGGGTTCAGTTGGCCTGTAAAACTGTCTTTGTGCTACTCTTCAGAGTCATGGCTACAGCTGTTCTGCGGTCAAACGTCTCTTGACCTTAAAAGAGCTGTTTTCAGATCAGCTGTGCTCTCCTCGGGGCCAGACCACCACTGCTATATCAGTCTGATGTGCTCACCCCGCCAACTGACGAGAAGCTGACGGGAGCTTCAGCCCGTCTTCACATCTGAATCCCAGAAGCCTTAAAGTATGAATCTGGAAACTCGAGACCTACTTATGTGTCATTTCTATGTCCCAACATCACAGTACATGGTAGGATATGTGGGACATTAAGTTGCCATGGTGACTCCTAAATGTAGACCACATATTCTCCCTATAAATAAACTGATTAGATTTTGAAGAACTTTGCTCCATAAATTTGCATACTAACAAGGAGAACTGATTTTCTTCAAAGTACAATAACGCCTAACTACTCAATATAAAATGATTGCATTACAACAAATACAATAATTTTTTTTTTTCTTTTTGGTAATTAATAGCTGCTTATAATGTATTTTATGATGTTGGTACAGCAAGGCAGGTAAAGTGCTTAAGGATTTAAATTATGTATGTATGTATATAAATTAAATATGTTATGTGTATAATATACATTCTGTGAGGAGATGGTTTTGAGATCTAAGCTAGAGAGAGACCTTCAAAGAATAGTTTTGGGGAATGTTTTTTAAGTTAGCTAAGACTGTTGATACCACTCTCATGTCTGTCTGGTATGGTATGAAGTTACAGTCAGCAGACGCTTATCTTAGCTTAGCATAAAGACTGGGACCAGGGGGAAACTGCTAGCCTGGCTTTCTGAAGATGGCCTAGCAGCACCTCTATACTCAAACCCAAGACTCATGATTTTATACATATTTCCCCAAAACTCAGACTGACATATTTATTACCTTTAAAAACATTGGGATCTCAACTTAAATTTTGTGGATTTGAACAATGTATGAACATAAAACAGATGACTGATTGATATATTAGGACTTATATAAAAGGGGCCAACACAACTAAGGTGTTATCTCGCTCCTCGTGTATTTTCTCTCCCTCATCCTCTAATTTGTGTCCTTTTCTAACCACAGGGCTTCTCCACCAGGGTGGCTGGGTGATTACAAAGCCCTATAGTGAGGCTGAACACTGGGGGAACGAAGTGGATCAATGAGTGGAGGTGGAAGGAGCTCAGTGTGGGGCTGCCACATTGACAACGGCAAGAGTGTCAGAGGCAGAAAGAGAGAGCTGGAGACGGACAGATGACCGCACAGGAAGACTGAAGAGCGTAGAAGACAGAGCAGTGTGTGTGTGTGTGTGTGTGTGTGTGTGTGTATGTGTGGTGTGTTTGTGAGTGTGAGTAAGGGATAGATTCCTATAAAGAGATGTGAGATTAGACACAGACGCCGAGTCTCACCTCACCTCAAGAGCTTGTGAATCAAACTAGATCTGCTTTTAATGAAACCACTAAATCCTTTTCTCTCTCTCTCCCTCTCCTACTCCTTGTGTGTGTGTGTGCGTGTGTGTGTGTGTGTGTGCGTGTGTGTGTGTGCGCGTGTGCGTGTGTGCGTGCGTGTGTGTGTGTGTCTGTGTCTGATGTGGTATTACGGTGCTATTGTGGGCTCAGTCTCACCCTATCACAGGGTAAGAAGCTTTGCAGTTGATGCTACACAGTGTTCATTGTAGCTTTCTTCAGGTCAAGCACACAATGTCCACATGCACACACACATGCACGCACACACAAACACACACACAGACACACACTCACATGGATTAGTAGTGTGTGGGAGGTTGAAGGGACCTCCCTAAAGCTGCTGGCTTGTCGCCAACCAAAAGCTATCCCTGGAAGTTTCTGACAATAGTTGAGCCACTCACACAACAACTTTTAACACATACACACAAACACATCATCTGTGTCCGAGTAAGTCATTCCTCCACAACCACACTCCACTGAGCAGTTGAACTTTGTGTTCCAGGTGTTCTGCAGGTAGCTGAATGTACTTCCTCTGAGGCAGGAGGAAGTCACTACATGTTAAAATGAAGCTGCCCTTTGAAGCAGAGAGAAACCACCTTCCTAAAGCTGTTATTATCTGATGTCAGCATCCAACAAATTCATCCCTGCTACAGCGAGTAGGGGACATTTGTTGTGTTTTTACTGGAACATCACAGCTGTGTCCAAATTCCATACTATGTACTAATACTGGATGTATTTTCAGTATATAGTGTTCACGCTTGGAAAGTAAACAAATTTAATTAAATAATATGCATACTATGTTCACTTGATTTCTTTAAGGTGGTGCTAATGGATACTGTTGTCCCATAATGCAATGCACAAGAGAAGAGTTTCTCACAGCAGCAAAACATTAAAACAAATTGTGGACAGTGGTGACATTCCTGAAACATCTCAGACAATAAAAAAGTAAGAAATCTTTCCATTTTGGGAATTTCCTACACCTGAAAATCCGTTGGTAAGTTTTTCTTATATAAATGTACTCTATAGGACGTTATGGAGGAGAATGCACATGAAATCATTAAGCTGATGTTCAAACTGTTCCACTCTTATATATTACATTAGACCATTAGACAGGAGAAATTTGAAGATCAATAAAATAATACTGTAATAATCTATTCTCACAATAAGACTCTGTTGCAAATCAATAAATATGAACATTATCATTTATTCCCGCCCGGCCCTTGTTGATGCAGAGTTTAATAGTAGCCAGTATGGAATTGAGACACAGCACATGTTTCCCTCTGGAGGAGAATGGATTAAACAATGATCCACACCATCAAAACAGGATCCATCCATTCCCTCAAATCACATAGTAGACCTGAGCCAATCAGAGATGCCGATTGTGAGGTCATGTTACCTCTGACCTTTGATGAGGCTGCCAGCTTGTTGTTGATACGGCCACGAGTGGGAGAGCGGCCGTGCTTTATGTCCTGGCATGACTCAAACACAAACATACGCTCCTGACACAGAGCCAGCCTGTCTGGGGGAGGGAGGGCAGAGCGCAGGGTGGGTGCAGGAGGCCAGAGAGCCGGTGGAGGCTCAGGAGGCACAGCATGACAGACAGACACAGCACATGAAGACAAGCAGACAAACTGATACTGTATGGACACAGGCGTATACACGTACATATATATATATATGGACACTTCCACAAATGCAAGCAAACATACACAAACACAATGGCACAAAGCAGAAGTGGGCAGACATGAAATTTAATATAGGAATCCCTATGTTCGGCTGATGAATTCTCCCAGAGCCAGTTTTCCTGTATTTTGCGAAGGCAAATGAAACTTAAATAATCAGCCTAGCGTCCTAGAAGCTCTGCTCATGTTGTATAAGTCTGCACAACACACTTGAGTAACTACAAAAATAATTTTCCACCTGTTACAAACCCCTCATATTAGTCATACTCCACCCAAAATGTTTTACACTCTCCTGGGTTTAAAAAGGGTTTGTAGTGCGGGTGGCAGCAGCTGCGATCAGCGTGTAATTATGTCACTTAAAATGGATTCCAGCTGTGAAATATCAGTCCACAGTAACTTCTCACACAGCTCCCTTTCAGGTGTCCTTACGCATGTTCACAATGCTCCAAACGTTCAACATTTTTGCACAGATATTGCACAGATTTCACTCACCCATGAGGAAGACATACACACCCACACACGTACCGGACACACTCACACACTTGTCCTACCTGAGAAGAAGTGAGCCTTGAAGCCTTTCTTGGAGACGGTGTTGTCAGACTTGAACTCAATTCTCATGTTATTGTATTGAGAGGTGATGACCTCAGGGACCTCGGTGCCACAGTATTTCCCATGTAGCTTAGAGTCAGACGAGAGGCCGCTCCGCACCTCCACGTAGTCGTATTTACAGACCTAAACACACAAATAAGGCTTCTGTAACGCACACAAGGCTGTGGCTGCTATGGTCAGGATCTTCCTTTTACTCTAATTAACATAATACAGACAAACACACAGACACACTCACCTCGTTCCCCTCCAGCTCAAAGGCCTCAAACTGCATGGAGATGCGATACTGAGTGGGAGCGACCACCTGCCACACACAGTTCTTGTTTGGTGGATACTCTTTAGGCCAACCTGGAGTGCTGATCGTCCCATTCAGCTTAGAGAGAAGACCACCACATGCCGCTGCAAACACACAGACACAAACCATTCAGAAACTGACCCAGTTAGGAAGAACGTGGAACGGAGACCTGAGTGCTGTTTAAGCTTTTATGGTCCTTAGGTTTTCCTGCTTTATTGGTTATATTCCTCTTTGTTTTTTGCATATTTTACAAATAGTAAACGTGGGGAGAGACGGGTGGTATGACATTAAACATACAGTAGGTCCCCATAGGTCACCTCTCTCCCCTCATTTCCTGTCGCCTCTATAGTATCAACTGTCCTATAAAAGGCAAATTGAAAATCCTAAAATACAGAAAATATTATGTGTTTCATCAGCTAGAAGGACAGAATGCAGTTGTTGCACCTTCAAAAGTTGACTTCATATTAAGGAGCAGGACTCCACAACTAATGCTGCAGCCCACAGTGAAGTAGTAGGGAGCTGTTTTTGTTTTTATCCAGTCTTGGTTTCAGATTCACTAGTTTTCATAATTGCGAACTATTGCATTTGTGGTTGCACAAAATCCAGCCTGTCATGTCCATAATTTTTCTAACACAGCTGTGAGCCATCATGGTTGAGCAGTTGGCTTTGTGCACTGGGGTTGGGATTTTACTGCCACAGCTGTGTGTAGCGTTAATTTTGGTCAGGAGAGTGATATTTCTGATATAGTTAAGGCTGGAATGTGGAAAGCCTCTGCTTCAACCAATCCCAGTGGGAATATTTTTTTCCCAGAGCCCCCAGAGTCAGCTAAAAGGAAATGTGCTTGGAAAGTCATCGCTACTAATGTTTGTTAATTTCAACGGGAAGTGGGCAACGTTACTCACAAAGCACCTGTCTGCTTCACCACAGGTTCTCCTCACACCACAACACATTTCCTGACTTGGCCCAGTTGTTTCTCGTGACCCTGTTCTCACCACCAGGCTGAGCGTTAGACAGCTAAAGTGTATGAGAATATATTTTCAAACTCATAGGTTTTTTGTTTGTTTGTTTGTTTGTTTTTTGGAAAATCCACTTGCTATAACATTTTCCCACACTTTAATTTACTGGGGATGCCAATGTAACTACTGCTCTTCGAAGAAATGCAGCAAAAACCACAATTTGGATATTCCACTAGCAGAGGTTTTTCTCTCTGCCTCAGAAGTGGTTTGTTCAGTTGTTTCAGTATGTGGGTCATTACGGGTAGTTAATCTATTTCGTGGGATTAAAGGACGTTCACAGCATTTGTGGCACTGGAACAACGAGGCATGTGGCTTTGTGTCAGAAAGATGTTTTTTCCTGTTGATGGAGGCTGGTTGGATGTTTTTTTTTCTGATGAGTTAGACTCATATCCTACAGTAACACACAAAAGAATGCACATGCAATCATGAGTTTAGCATACCACACACACACACACACACACACACACACACACACACACACACACACACACACACACACACACACACACACACACACACACACACACAGTTACCTTCACAGCTCTTCTTGTCAGGAGCTAGTTCATAGCCAGGGTCACAGGCACACTTGAAGCTGCCGAGAGTGTTTACACACCTCTGTTCACATCCACCATTGTCTGGTTTGGCACACTCATCCTCCTCTGAAAAACACACACGTCAGAGCACATTTTCACACACTTTAAGAATGCTTTGGTCCACAAGCCATATGAGAAAACACAACCAACCGACACGCACACAACCACACAATTGTACACACACACACCTTTGAAAAAGTTTGCAGCAAAGCCGGCCTTGTTCACCGTCCCGTCTGAGACAAACTTCATCCAGAGGGTGTGTGACGTGGAGCGCACATCCTCAGGTTTGTCGTAGCCACAGAAGCGACCAATCAGGGGACTTGTCTCCAGAGGGCCATCCCGAACCTCCAGGTAGTCGTACGCACAGCTGTCGTGCCTCTCGATCTGCGAAAGCATTCGTGTAGGTACGCACAGACACACAGATACAAAACACTGCTGTGAGTATCAGACACATCACTGTCAGCCTCAAGTATCTCTGCGACAGTAACATGTTTAGTGTTAAACACAGCACAAAGTTTCTTCCTCCTTCAGGCATTTAAAGATTGTTAGTGTTAAATTATCAAGGCAACTGCAAAACCTTTTAAAGGATATTCTATCTTTTCACAAGCTGGGTTTTGATTGTGTAGTTTTGTCCATCATTCATATTGGTTATAACATTTTAATCAGCAAGTTAATTGCTGATTATGGGATTTTGTAATGCAGCTTTTCACAATTGAGTCTCAAAGCGTAAAGTATGAAGCATCTGATCACACAGGATGTAAATAAGAGCAGGATGTAATGAGGTTTAAATGCAGGCAATACACAGAAACTGGTCAATGGGAACTACATATGGTCACAGTTAAACAAAGAAGACAGCCCAGATCTAATCTAACAGATATTTAAATGGATAGATTGGGTAAGTATGTATGTATGTGTATGCATATGTAGATCTCAGCAGTGAAATTGACGAGGAAAAGAAAATTGTTGCCAGAACAACAAGAATAAAACCGGGTAGAAAGACAAAATGGATCTTTCCTTCACCACATTAGTGAACCTGCAGCAGCTGACACCAACACTGACTGAGATATACTTAATCTGAGTTCATCAGTAAACTCAAAGGAAGCATTAAACTTTGTACAAAGTGACACTGTTTCAGTTTCAAGAGGGGAGAGTCGTCCCACAACACTTAAATATTATTATGAATGTACATTTTCAATTTATGTCCAAGAATGAGCACACATTGTTGGCACAGCTGCAACTGAATCATAAAAAAACTTGCAATATATCATAGAATAAAACAGAAAAGAATACAATCGAAGAGTAGAATAGAATAGAATAAAATAGAAAGTATCTAAAACTGGTGCAGTTCTTAAGGTTGATCTTAGCTGCAGTAAGAAGGTGAACTTTGACTTTTCATGTGAGGGTACAGATTGAGTCATTTAGCATGCTGACATTTTTACAGCGTAACAACTACAAAACTACTCTCAACTGTCTCTGCATCTCTATACACACTCTCTCTCTCTCACACACACACACACACACAGAACCACAACAGACACCACACCAGCACAACACACAAGAGAGAAGCTGCACAGGTATGCGTACAGACACACACGCACCACACACCACACAGCACACACACACACACACTGTAACACACACAACACAATACACCCACACACACACACCACCTTTATTAACTTCCTAGCAGTTATACGAGCGTGAAATTTGACCCAGACATTCCTAAGCACACACACACACACACGCACACACCCACACACACACACGCGCACACACACACACACACACACACACACACGCACACACCCACACACACACACACAAAAACACTTAGTCACCTCAAAGGCCTGGAAGCTGAGCCCGACGTTGTAGCCTTCGGACACCGTGATCCTCCACACACACTCTTTGGAGGGTCTGTAGTCATCAGGGTAGTTTGGAGACTGAATCTGTCCTGAGTCCTTGGTGATCTCCCCCCCACAGATTGCTGCATAGGAGAGACAGACAGACAGAAAGACAGAGAGAGAGATACAGAGAGGCAGAGAGACAAAGAGAGAGACAGAAAGACACAGAGAGACAGACAGAGAGAGAGAGACAAAGAGACACAGAGATACAGAGAGAAATTGAGAGGATGTGTTACCCTTCTCTGCACTGACCCAAAACACCTGAAACACATTCTGTGCTCACTCTGAATAATGAAAGCCCCGAGAAAACGTCACACAAATGTCACAAAGTCACAAGTTGAGCCTTTGCTTGTTTCTTCATATGCAGTAGATTTGCAGCCTGTCACATACTAAATTTTTATGTATTTACTTCTTCATTCATTTGTTTGATTAATTGATTAAAGGAGTTACCTTCATAAATGGCAGCAAAGCCCTTCCCCACCCAGTTGCTGCTGCTGCGGAACTCAATCCACATTCTGCTATCAGTGGAAATCAAGACGTCAGGAACTTTATCTCCACAAAACCTGCCTGTAACACACACACACACACACACACACACACGCACCAGTGGAACCTTGTGAGGACCATACTGTAGATTGCGTGTCCAATGAGAATTTTGGCAAAACATTATTAAGGATGAAAAGTAAGTCTTCCTTTAGGCCACGTTCAAACTCACAAGACCGCTGTGTCAAAAAACATGGCCATCTCATTTGCTTCAATTAGATTAATGCACAACTGAGGAGCTGGCACAGAGGGCTCTGGCAAAAAGAGTTAAACCTGGCTCAACAACATGTAGCAACACATTGCAATGGCTAATAACACACAAATGCACTTGTAGAACAGGTAGAATAACTTCTAGCATGTGCAATGTAGCATTCTGCTAACTCTGCCATTAACTTGATGAAATTGCATTAACTTTCAAGAATTGTAAAATCCTGCCTAAAAAGCACATAAGCAGATGTGGAGCATCTGGGCATCTAATCAGCCAACAATTACGGTATTTAATTAAAGAAAGATTTTAATTAAGAGATGTAGAAATGTTCTTGTGTCTTCAGCAAAATAAACATTGGCATATCTGAAAAATGCAACGTCACAAAGCCAAAAACAGACATCAGTGCAATGGAGGTATAATCCAATAAGAAAAAGTGGAGGAGCAAGAACAGTTTTTTTTTTTTTTTTTTTTTTTTTTTAAATGATAGGTTCACAATTTCAAGTCTGTCTTAACAATTAGTCCCATATGAACAATTAAACTTTTTCTTCCTGTGATCAGTGGTTCGGTTCTTACTGACCATTAAAGAAAAAATCTATTTTTAATGCGCTTCCAATGTAAGTAAGACAAAATCCACAATCCTTGTTCAAAATGTGTTGAAAAGTTCATCTGCAGTTAATATGAGGATTCAGCAGTCTGAGTTAGACAGTTGAGAAGAGCTGATCAATGCACAATGAAAGAAATTTATACTAAGACTGCAGCATATTCATATCTTCACAAAACAAAAGCTGAACATTTCATTTCTAACCACTTGACACTGAAAGTCCATTAAAAATGGACATTTGAATTAGAGCAAGAAAAAGCTGTTTCATTGTTAATATGAGCAGTTGAAATTTTTTTATTTTTTAAGACAGATTTGAAAAATTGTGAGGCTTTCCTTTAAGGGTGCTAGTGCCCATCTGGCCCCCTCGTTCAGCTCACTCCTGACTGACTGTCTCTTGATCTTACCGAGCAGCGGAGCTTTCCTCCAGTATCCATCCCGAACCTCAATGTAGTCATACCAGCACAGACTGCTCTTATACAGATCCATGGTGGTGAAGTTGAGAACAATCTGAAGGAGTAAAAGAAAAAAGAAAAAACACACACATTTAATGCATTTAATCCAAGTTTATGCACATCAGAGACCGGATGAGGGGAATCAGACCAGAGGAAGAGGGTGGTACCTGTAGTGTTAGGACTTAATCAATATACAGTCATTCTGTCAGCAGTTAGTTTATTGTTACTGGCTATGCATGCACATTCACTGCACTGCAGGGTGCTACTGTGTGTGTGTGTGTGTGTGTGTGCGTGTGTGTGTGTGTGTGTGTACCTTCTCTCCGGACGTAACAGATATTCTCCAGACACAGTGTGTGTATGATGGGTATCCGTTGGGGTAACCAGGAGACGAAAAGTTGCCCGTTGACTCTTGGAGCGTCTCTCCACATGCTGCAACACACACACAGACACACACAGACACACACAGACACACACAGACACACACACACACACACACATACACACATACACACACAAACACACAGATGGAGTTACATTTTTGTGGTAAGTCCTGCTGTTGAGCATAATCCTTTCAACCGTGTACTGATGACTTAAGATTGATATGTTACTAGAGAACACATGGCTCCAACATCTATTATTATTGTCAATCTGCACAAAATTATTATTTTCTTAATGCCAATTTACCAAAATAAATACACTTCAGACTATTTTGTCAAAACAACAGCCTCACGCACTCTTTTGTGCCAATGTTTATGTCTACATTATCCCATCTGTCCATATGGAACCTGTTAGAAATGCATTTCTGAGTCAGAAAACAGTAAAGGAATTGCCCTCCCAAACAAACTCATGTTTCATGTTGTCTTTGGCTTCTTTCAGTTTTGCATGTAGGAGGCTACAATATGCGTGCTTGTATTCCTGAGTGTATCAGTGTACTTGTGAGGTCCAACCACAGTCATTAAGCCTCGTCACCATTTAGCGCCATTAAACATACCCCAGTAGAGTCATTTACTGTAAGTGAACAAGAGCGATGTACTCTTAATTAACCACAATGAAGATAACAAAATAACAAAAAAAAAAAGCGGATACAGCTGGATGGGTTTTGGTGGAAGAATATCAGACAATATTGCTCTCTTTATGCTTCATTCTGAGTTTAACGCTGTCGCTCCCTCTCAAAAGGAGGTTAGCCAAATGTGCCCCTCCTATCCCATCATGCATGCTGTTTTCCCCCACAATGCCCTGGGGCTCTGTTCATCTGTCAGTGAATATGGTATCACTCAAATATGACCTTATAAGGTTGAAGTTGTTTCTATTTCCAGCTGGGACACACTAACACAGTCTTGTTCTCTTTCTAGTATCAAAATGGATTTAGTAGAATCATATGTACTGTATATTGTAAAGTGCTTGTGTGTGTGTTTGTATGTGTGGGTTTATATATATCATGGTTTATTTTTTTATTTTTGCATATTTCCAGATAAATCGTATTTTAACAGAACAAAATTAGCAAGTATGAATGAATACACACAAAAAAACAGTAAGAAACAGAGACCTGTGAATTTAAGTGGACCAGAATGTTATTCAATCTGTTTGCCTCACATACAGTATATGTTACAAACACCATGACCTAACGTCTGAACTGAGGATGTAACTGTATGTGTGTGGGCCAAAGGGGGGATGGCAGCCTTAGCGATCATAAAACCTTTGCGACATTAACTGCACAGCTCGGTGTGAGAGCAGATCCAGATCACGTCAGAGAGACTCGCTAGGGACCAGAGGGACGCCAGCACAGCAGGGGTATGCGCAAGAACTGATGGGAAGTGAGAGTGTGTGCGTGCGTGCGTGTGTGTGTGAGTAGGATGTGTTTGAGACCCGAAAACAGAAAGGGAAACATCACATGGAAAAACAAATTACTCAACTTCACCTCTGTGCCTTGGAGAGTAAAGGGGCGGTCCAATTTTACACCAAAGATATGAGCAGATAAACAGAGGTCATCTTTTGTGTCCTAGCTATGACGACAGCACACACATGCAGCAACACATCCACATACACACTGTGGTCTCATAGTAAATATATCAGTACCTGGACATCTATACAGCTTCCTTGCCTGTGCAATGTCTCCTTTACTGAGCCTGGTCCGCTGGCCAATAGCAGGCCGGACGCCATTTTCATCTCTAGATGGAAGGATGGTGTCGAGAAACATCCCCCTGCAGAGAGCAGAAGAAAGATTTCATAAACACATCCTGCTCTGATTTCAGGGAAATTAAATACGCCATTACAACACATGAATTTAACTTCAAAACAATATCATTTGATACCTTCTAAGAACAAAATGTAATTCTGAAAAACAGTGACTTCCATGCAAACACTGTTTTTCCAACCATTGTTGTATTTTGTGTTTTCTTCTTATGTGTGAGTTAGGGCTGCGTGGGGAATGGGAGTGGTTCTGAGAGAAGATATGGCAGAAATTAAAAAGCATCCTCAAATGAAAAGCATGTAAAGAGAACCCATGACTGCTCTCACTGCCAAATCAAAACTGGCTTATTTCAGATGGTGGAGATGTTTAAAAAAATTGGAAGGAATTTCATGATGCTGAAAACTTTCCATCAGTTTTTATAGCTGGAAAAGTCCCTATAAGCACAAGTCTGATTAGAGCTCAGATTCGCTAACATGGTGGTTTCTAACCTGAGAGTCGAGACCCCTACAAAGAGGTGCAGGACACATCTAGCTGGTCATGAGATGATTAAAAAGATGGGAAAGAAGAAGAAGAAGAAACATCTTTTTGCTGAACAAAATTGTGTTTATTTAGCCCTTCCATTCATTTTGAGGTTGTCTTATGTTCAGGTTGGTAATTTTCTACAGGTTGCTGAGATAAAGTTAAAAATTAAAGATAAAGCAGAAATAAATACTGCAGGAGAAGTTCTAACGACCAGTTTCACCCCACAACAGTAAACCGCATAAAGAAATGTTCAAAAAAATCATCAGCTTCACTGTTTCCCAAAAAACAAAGCAAACTTAACAGTTGAGAAAAATCTGTTTTGGCAGACCATGCGTCCGATCTGTGTTGTAAGTTCAAAACAAGTGAACAAATCATGAGATTTTGCTGCTGGTTACCGTGAGAAGGTGTTCCTGGCGTAGTGCATGATGCTATCAAAATCATATGGCTCCCCAAGAGAGTTGACCTCCCCTGGCTCCATCTTGAGGAAGTTATACTCCTGGCCTGGGAACCACACACACACACACACACACACACACACACACACACACACACACACACACACACACACACACACATCAGACAGCAGTATGAGAAAGTTTAGTTTTATCACACATTGAGAGTCTAATCATTTGGTGTGTCACAATAAAAATGATTTACATGGTGATTCTGAACAGAGACATTTTAAGGGCATTTCTTAAAATACTTGAAGGTGTAGTTGAGACATAAGTTTCTAAATAAAAACCTGGGTCATGTCTCATTCGCTGCAACATCATTTGGTTTAACACCTGGTAGGTGTTGAATGCCTTGTGGTACAGCAGAGTGAGTGGGAGGAAAAGCGGCCGTCACTCTGGGGGTCTAGGTGACTTCACAGTCATTAAAAGCCTCATTCACACTCACACAGAGCTGGAAACGGGTGTGAAATTGAAAACATACACACACGTTGTCAGTTTGTGTTCTTGAATGATTCACGCAGAAACCCAGGGGCATCTTGGGCAACAGGTAACGCCTCACCTGGTTGGATGTTATCCCGGATGATGGTCACATGATCGTCACGGTCAGGTCGTGTGTGCTCATGCCAGAAGCCAATGACGTGGCCCAGTTCGTGCACCACGATGCCAAACTTGTCACAGTTCTTACCGATGGAGATAGCCTGGGGCCCGTTGCCACGACGACCCACATAGGAACAACACCTAATAAGGATTAGTAGGAAGTTGATAGCAGGGAGATAGGCGGATGACATTTACTACAGATTTGGCAATGGAAAAAGCATCAGCAGTGTTGTATTCAGTTTATAGTGACCACACACACACACACACACACACACACACACAAGACAAAATCTTTTCAGGATTTCCTGCCACGTACTACATCCACCAGAGGAAAAGCGGCAGGATTTGTTTACATACAACGTTCCAATAACGCTGCAGTTTCATAACCCAAACTGAGTAAGCTGTGAGAATTCACATATCGCCGCTCACAGAACACACAAAGCACACATACACACACTCATTCTCTTTTTCTGGTTAGCCGAGACATCCGTGCCAGGCTAACAAATCTGATTAAAGTTATCCAGCGAGCTGATTGCAGGGTAAGGATCAGGAGTCACTGGAGTAGATAGAGTCTTTTCCTGCAGCATTTGCAGTGCCAGTATCAGTACAACTACTTCACACAAACACACACACAAAAATGCACAACAGGAGCCATAAATGTATTGTGCTTGTATTTACAGCAGCAGTACTTTGCTTTTCTGTCTCTTTTTCTTTCTCTCTCTGTCACACACACCACAAATCCAAGCTGCAGGGTATTTATATATCAGATTAAAGTGTCTAATCTCCGATGCAGCCAGCCTATCACAGAACACGAGACAACTGGCATCATCAGTTAACACGCAGATCTGTAGTCATCTACATGCCTGTCGGTATCTACATTTAAAAATTGAATCTATTACTCAACAAACTTCTTAGCTGCAACATTATGAAATTATATTGTGTAACTATGTGTTAAACTGAAAGACAGAGGTATGCACATCCAAGGAAACTATTCAACGGGAAACAGGAAGTATAAAGGCAAAAAAAAACGTCTCTTGCTCCAACAATAATTTTCTAATCACAGTTGCAGCGCGATGTTTTGATTATAGATCTTTGTCAGGCATCAAATATTATTGTAAGAGAAAAGACATTATGTGCAGATTATAGGAGACTAGTCTCTGTTTTACTATCATTGTTCAGTCCACAGAAGTCCTGTTACTGTAAATGTTTAGGTCAGTGCATTGCTTGAAAATTTCCAATACTTGTGATGATACCATACAATACTGTTAGATACCAAAATGATTTTTTTTGGCATCTTATTTCAGAAATATAAAGATGTTTTTTAACAAAGCCCTGTTCTTCATTTAAAAATGTCAAATATTTGTCTTCACACAAGCACCCATACAAGACCTAAACCAGGTTTAAATATAGTCTAAAATGGGTTAAAAAAACAACAACAACAACAAAAAATCTAATCTCTGCCTAGTAAACTAGATTACAAATCTGACTAGACATTCAATGTAAGAACTCAGTACTTCACAGTTTTTGGTACACAGTGCTCTGGACAAATTTAAATCATTACTAATAGTATTGAGTTTCAATGAGGTTTGACCCTTAACTTCTGATCAATAGTGCAAGGTTTTCCATCAGATGTGTCAGTCTGAATTAAAGGAAAGTGCGTGCAAACAGACATTTGGCGTAACGGTGCAGGCATAAGAAAAATGACTGGCTGTATATGAATATTAAGTAAGTGTGACACAGTTTCAACATTAAAACAAGCAAACACTGAATATTTGATCTTGTCAAGTAGTGTGGAAGTTTTAACTTGAACGTGATCCATGAGGAAACTGAGCGGAGACAGAGTAGGATTTTCTTAAGATACACGGGGTGCGACAAATTATAATTTTCATTATCAGTTAATCTGTTGTTTTTTGTTGTTTTTTTTAAATTAATAATTAATTATTGCCCACCTAAATTTGAACAAGTTTTCTGATTGTTAGACACATGTGGTAAATATGGACAAAAAGCTTTTATATCCCCGTACCTAGATTATTTTTGCATCAGTGTACTTGTTAACTACAATAACCAGAGGATGACAGTCTAATCTATCAACACATATATTACATGCTCATATTCATAGAACTTTTCATTGAACTTTCAGACTGGATATACTCTGCTTAGCGTTAGTGCCGTTATTGCTAGTGATTTTTGCTTGATAAATATTCATCAAATAAAAATTGCTGTTGCTAAATTTTTGTTTATCAACCGATTACTTGAGGTGCGAATAGTGGAAATTCACAGATGTAGTGTAGCTGTCCTCCTGTTTCAGCCATCTGCACAATAATGTCTTGGAGCGATGAACCCAAACGTCCTGATCTCAGCCACTCTGAAACCTTACAACTTACAACCAGTGAAGTGCCACCACTGTACAAACACACTCTGACCCCACCATGCTGCCACTCAACAGAACAATGCACTTCTGCAGAGTATGAACAAAAAAACTGCACGAACATACAAACACTTAAACCGAGCAGTGTGATTGGTGGGATGGGGAAACAGGAGGAGGACAGGAAGGAAAGCGGAGCCATTGTTGAGTGACCGTATCGTCTCTCGCTGTGACAAGGTCATGACTGAACTCTAGGTACACACACAATCACAAACACAATCACACATGTACAAAGAGATCATCTAAGCTCACCCGCAGGGCCTGTAGGTGAACACTATGTAGCTTTCCTCGTCTGTCTTCTCAATGAAAGTTACGCACGTCTGTTTCTCCCAGTGACGCATGGCCTGCTTAAACATGGCCCTCTGACTACCTGGAACACACACATTTTACATCCTACTTTTACACAATCGCAGTCGGTGTGTATTTTACTGCTGAGCAGGATGGGCAACAGTCCAGCGGAGTTGCTTACCAGTGAAGTTTCCTCCTATGACGTAGGGAATGACTCCTCCAGGCCATATCCTCTCAGCTCTGGATGTGGCTGCTCGAGGAATACGGCTCTTTGCGACGCTCCCAGCTCTTCCACCTTTCCCAGTTTGGCTCTTGGTACTGGCAGCTCCCTTGCTGACGTTCTTGGGGAGATAGTCTGACAGAGTCGGGAAAGAGAAATTACAGTCAAAATACACATGTGCAAACAGAGTAAATTACTGGGCTATTATTATAAATATTAGTTCATAAATGTGCTTCCATATTATTTGATTATACCCTCTGTTATTATACGTGACCTTTCAGAGTTTGTTCTCAGATCAGGGAGTAATAAAACTCTAACAGAAATAGCTCTGCTAGCTGTTTGACTAAACATTTAATTTAAAGAAGGTTATTATCTATACTGCATGAGCTGTGTTGCTTCAGTAGAGTAAAGGGTTCTGGTTCAACTTCATCTGCTTGTAAAGTGTATGGAAAATGGAACAAATCTTGAATTGTCCAGCATCACTTGTAGTATTGAGAATAACTGTAGCTTTCATTGGGGCCTGATTCTGCTTCAGATGTGTCTCATTTCCTCCTCATCAATAATCACTGACAATAACAGACTTGGTGATTTAGCTCACCTGACATTCTCCACATTAAGCCTGGGACCAGTGATTTGCGTTATTTAAGCTGTATTCACATTATGATGAAAAAACAACGCTCTTACAGTTACTTTCTTTTTAAAGTGCAAGTTTTAGAAAGAGCCAAAATGTCTATTTGCCAAGGTCTACATGCTACAATGCTAATGTTGGTGCAGTAACAGTGGTTAGATAGGGACTCAACATTTATAACAACATTTCAGTGAACTTGAAAGCTGAAAGCTTGACAACTAAATGTTTTAAGATGGTTTCAAATGATTTATTACTGTATTTATACAATCAAAAACTTTGTCCCCCATCGTTAATTGCAGCTGAAAAGCACAAAGAGAGAAAAAACTTGGTTCATATATCACAGTGAAAATGTCATCACCTCTGTCATCAAAGTCTGCAAACAGCTGCAAGCAGCCACTGAGACTGTAGCTGGTAACAGAAGTGTAATTTAAAAATATAAGTTTCTGCAGAAAAGCTGTTTTATATACTGGATTGAAATGAATGGAAACCACGCATGCCATTCTGGTATGCTTGGGAAACTGGGTTCAGTAATGTAAAACATAGTATTTGTGGTTAATTAGCTAAAATATGCAGAACCACTAGCGTGGTCCTTTCAATGGTGGTTTGGTAACACACGTCAAAGCATGTCGTGATATTCAGGGTCCTTACCGAAGCCAAATCTACGTATTCTTTCCAGCAGCAGGTATAATGAGCCTCTCTTCTTTGCAATTTCATGTTCCTCCAGGCCACCTGACACACACACAGACAGACAGACAGACACACACACACACACACACAGTGCCAAGAGTCAAAACACAAACAATGTATAATAATAAATGCTGATATCCTCAGGTGGCCAGCCGTCTACTTCCTTCCTATCCACGTTGCTGTACTCTGCAGCTGATGTTGTAATGAGAGAGTTTCAGAGGAAACACGAGAGAGAGAGCATTACATGATGATTACAGAGTGAGCGTGAGATGTTGCGTCCACTCACCAGATGTGTGCCCCTGCCGGGAGTGTGTGCGCATGTGTGTGTGCTGTGTGAGGTCTATCGTCCTGTCAATCTGGAACATTCGCAGGTCCTCCTCGTCTAAAGCGATGTCGCCCCAGAATACAGCTGGAAGTTAAGAGAAGACATGATAGTTAGCAGAATCACTAATGCCATCATCATCACCATCATCACTGTCATCATTCATCATCCCCGGAAATGATCACATTATTATAAAACTGTAATATTTCTCTTCATAAGCAGTGTTAGAAGTGTGAAAAATACTACTGTTTATATAGAACTTGGTTACATAGAACAGGTTTTCCGCTCGGTAATATAACCAACTGCAAAGTCTTAGAAGTTAATTGAATTTTAAAATCAAGGATAGATTAAACGTGCTGGTCTTTCTCTGTCAAGTTTACAATCCAAGCAACAGAGATTTGAACAAGCTGCAGACATGAGAGGGATCTTTTTGATGAAAGTGAAAGTAAACAGGGCTTTTCATTAGTCAAAACGTGAAGTGATGGATGAAGGTTAGTTTGTGGATTTTGGTGTGCGCTCTTTATGCTTTAAACCCAAGTCCCCCACCAACCCTACATCAAATCTTGGGTCCCGGCTTCATGTTCCACATTTTGTTTCTGTGTCTGAGCAATCACAAAAAAATAGTTTTGATTGAATCCAACAGAAACCATGAAAAGTCTGATATTGTGTTTGTTTATATGGTTTGTTTAATTATGTGTATTATTATTAAGAGTGCTGATCTCAGTAAATTTTTTACATAAAGTTCTATATATACTGATATTTTCTATTAAGTTGAGATGTCTAGAGATGAACAGGTGTCTACACAACTGCAGCAAGGTTTGAGTCAAAAACAAAAACTCCACAAGGAAGGGAAAATAAATTGTAAGCTGTGCCTTAGCAAACAAAGTGTGTACTGTGGTAAAATGGGGGCATTGAAACCACTGGACCCAAACAAAATCGGATGTAATTAACAGGGATCTTTTTCAGGGAAGGGGCGATGTCCTGTTTTTTCAAGGCTGTTAAGGTTTGGATTTATTTTTTCTTAAGTTCAGTTCAAGTACAAACTCTTTGACCCACTAAGACCTCCAGTGCAGAACTATGAGAACTGGAGGTAAGTACAATGTGTACTTGTACACTGGGTAGAGGAGTACTGCAGATGTCACACAAGTGCAGTCATGGTGCAGGTCACATACCAGGAAATAGCACAGGTGTTTTTCTTTATCTTTAGCGCTGAAGTTGTCATGTTAACTGAATTATCTGGTTATTGATTCTACGAATTCTAACATTACCGTCATAGCACAGCACAGACTCACTGTTGTTTCACTCACTCCAATCATGTATCCACAACTCCACCCAAAGATGTAGAAACCTACTGCTAGAAACAGCTTTGTCTCCCTCCCTCTCTCTGTCTCTCTGACACACACACACACACACACACACACAGAGTCACTAGCGCCCAGTGGTCTTACAATGGTTCGATATCAAGCTATGTATAAGCCTTCTGGCAAGTGACACTCACCCTCCACTCCTCACTTCCCCTCCTCCCTCCCTCCCAGCCCGCCTTTTCTTACCGCTCCAGTCTCTCCCCCTCATCCTCCCATCCTTCCTCTTTCCATGCAATCTGGCTTAAGGTTTCCACACACTGTCCACAACCATTAATGTACACACTGAAGCGCTATCAGCCTTGCAAGAGCTACAGTGCCATTGCACTCTGACACGCTGGGTTGCACTGGGTTGCATAGTAGAACTCACCCCCATCTCTAAAACTGGGGACAATGATCCGTCCTATCCTGGCATGGTTGTCTGGGCAGAGATTCTCTGTTGCATGTATTGTGATTTAGCCCAGAGCTAAGAATTGGTTGGTATAAGTTTTTTTTTTTTTTACACTACTTTCTCCTATTGTGCCTGTAAGGTAATAAACTGAAAGTGATTTTAGACTGGGCTGTTTCTGAGCCCAGCAGCAACCAGACATTAAAAATGGGCCTTTCTTCAAATGTTAATGCAATGTTACTTTTAATATCTATGAACTTAAAAATAGAAAAAAAAAAAGGGGAAACATTTGGGCACCCTACCACTGTAAGTCACTACTTGTCATCACTCGGAGATAAGATTTGTTTCCTTCAGCATTGAAGCCTAGAGTCGAAACGCTTCTGTGTCTTTCCGCTGCGGTGCATTAGCCTATTAAAAGCATTATAAACCTTTTTGTTTTTGCAATATTTTTAGGCTGTCCTGCACACACAGCATGTTGAAGATCGACCAACAGAGTTTCAGTGATGATCAAGTCAGGAGACTCTAAGGGTCGTTCCAAAAGTTTCAGCTTGTGTTTGTTAAAGTAAATCATGGTGGATTTCGAGGTTTGCTTTGGATCATTGTCCTGTTGTAGAAACGAGCCTCTTTTCAGTTTTACTTTCTTTACGGACTCTGACCTGATGTTTCCTGTGTCACCAGCTGCCACACAACCTCAAAGCAGAGTATTTCCACCTCGTCCACAAGAACGTATGGACCGGTGCAAAAGGTGTGCACTGCTCATAACAAGCCCTCTCTCAATCTACCTCTGTGTCTTCATCATCTTCCTCACAACACTTCCCTTCCTCCTGCCTCGACCTCATCCTTTTTTGACTCACAAAAATGCGTGCATCAACACTAACACTAGTATGTGGCACACACCTTTCAGCATCAGACAAAGCACATCTTGGATCCCTTGTTTTTCGGTTTCTTTTCCTCCCCCTCTCCCTCCATATCTACAGTATCTCTCACAGCCACAACAATGAACGACTGAGCGATAATCATCACTAAATGATTAGCTGAGCAGAGTTATTGCCCTCCACAGGGACTCAAGACACTGATACATTAACGATGGCATGGGAGAAGCTTGTCACTTAGCTAATTAGGATTGCCACTAAAGGAAATGGGGGGTCAGGGTGCCATTGTGCTCAACTCTTTGCTATTGTTGGAGAGAGGAGCAAAACCACAATGACCACAGATGGTTTACAAATCAGGATATCAGATATAGACTAGGAGTGTGTGTTGTTGAATGGTGGTGTATGAGATTTTGATTAGATAGATATGAGGCTAATGTCTGATCTAGAGGGTGGAGCTGCTGTAATTTATTTATTATGATGTATAATGTATCATGTAGACAATACTATGTAATACTGAAGGGTGCACTTTAAAGCATGTTTGCTCATGCCTAAAAAAATTACTAAAAAACACAATATATTTCAAATAAAATGGTGGTTTCTAAATGCTTTTAGTGTGAACATTTAAGATGTATAATTACTTAAAAGTTGAACCTTTTATTACAGGAAAAGTTTGATATTTTGGTGAATATGCTTATTGGCTTTCTTGCAGAGAGTTGGATGAAAAGATCAATACCACTATCATATCTGACACAACAGCCAGCACTGACTAGCTTATCTTAGCATAAAGACTGGAAACAGGGGGAAACAGCTAGCCTGGATCCATCCAAAGGTTAACATTTGGAGATCATTCCATGCTAACCTGACCTAATCAGCTGGTAGCTGTCGCTATAGCTGTAGCTATTCCATATGAACCCACTTATCAATTTGCCAATTATTTTCAAAACAATGAGAAATAACCATATAAAATTTTCAGAGCCCAAAGTGAAGCCTTCAAACAGCTATACAATAGTCCAAATATTCAGTTTACTATAATTAGTAAAGTAAAAGCAAATTTCACGAGCAGGTATACGATCACAATCACACAGGTGAAACTGCGTGTGTTCTGATTAGGACAAGCTGCTCTCACCAGTCAAGCTCCTAGCTCTCATTTGCTGTTTGATTTGTAACGTCACTACAGTGTTTTGTGACACATTTCACCACTTGGAAAACAATTTCCACAATAATTAAATACACAAATATAACAAACTTTGTAGTGAAATTAAAAATATTCCTCATGTGTGCTTTTTTTATGTGAGAGATTTGAAAGAAGGCTGCATTCAGTAAGTTACGAATTTTACGAATTAAAAAGTGAAGTATCAAACTTGACGTATATAAAATAGGTTTATTTGATTCTGAAGAGGTTTATGTGGGTGTGCCTTTTCCATATAGAGCAACAAAAATAGCACTTGCACTAAGATGTGGTATGAACAGGCTCTGGCACAAATGTTATTTCTGACACAAAATTGCACTGTGGGCAACACAGTTTCTACAGACACTCCCCTCTACTGCACCTTCTGCATAAGTAGTGTCAAAGTGAGCCACAAAAATGACCAAATTGATGCAAAAAAATCCACTTTACGCCTTAGGAAACTGCCCCTTCAAACACAGACAATATCACATTACACCTGCATTTGAAACGATATTCCCTCAGCTTTTGTCTCTGGTTATGGGACAGTGCACCAACTTTAAACTTCTAGTAGTTCTGGATATTTCAGGACAACAAGGCAAAATACAAGGACTAAAAGTTTTCCAGAAAAAAAGGAGCTGACACAAGCAGAGATACAAAGCGAAAAGAGGAGGAAGAGTACAGTAATAGTAAGTTTGGCCCATTGATTGTTGGGGTCTTGTTAATCCATAGAGATACCATAAATAGCCCAAAGTCAAGCCAGTGGGTGAGGAGGGGTGAGGACAGTGAGGCAGGGAGATGCAGGAGGAAAAGTATTGATCCAAAAACCCCAGGACGTCCCAGGAGACCTACATCATGCTGACCAGGGCCTTACTGCATGCCCTTCAGCAGGGGCACTGCAGCAAACACACAGACACACACAGACACACACACACACACACACACACAACAACACACACACACACACACACACACACACCCACACACACAGACACACACAGACACACACACACACACACACACACACACACACACCTACACACACACAGGAGTAATGCACCAAACACAAACTGAGAGGAAAACTTCCTTCACACGCATCCAGCACCTCCCACCACGCTGGCTGTTTGGAGTGCCAGCGAACCAGTTTGAGTCGTATTGATCAAGTTTTCTAGGCAGACAGCACTAATGTCGGCTTTCTGCACGTTCACTCTGCGGCCTGGTAACAAATGTCAAACATTCACACAGCAGTGGCTCTGTGTGACTGTGAGGGCTGGAAAATGAAAATGTGGATATGTGACCAT